TGTATGTATGTATGTATGTATGTATGTACCCTTGCTAGTTATAAATCCAAAAGCAATCCCATGGGGCCCGGCTCTTCCATCTACCATTTCTGCCTTTCGAACCTGTTCGAAGAGGCCAATTTCTATGGCTTGGAGGGTGAAACTGGGCAGCTTCCAGTGCCTCGTATCATGGAATATGCCCGGGGCCTCGGCGTACATCGAAATGCGCTTCAAAGAACCGGCGAGAACTGCGATCTTGGCAATTTTGACACCTTAAGAAATTGGCCAAGCAAATTCAACATCTATGGCCTGAAATATGCTACTAACGTACCGCCATTTTAGGATCCTGGAATTCCCATTGATCAACAAAGATGCAGACATTTGGCTGAACTTCGGCACCAACTCATCACTCTCCGACAAAAAAAAACACCAGTCTTGCAGTGGAGGAACCAGCTGATGAAACGGGTGAGGTTTGCGTATGGCAACATAAAGACGACACGCAAACCATCTACGTGGATTGTATGGAGCAGACCATTCGCGAGGCGACTTTTGGGAGCACTTCGCGAGGATCATTTACCCTCTGGTTATAACATTCACAGTTTGCCATGGAAAGATTCACCATGCTATTAATAGGTAAACATAGGTAAACCATCTATTTCTATGGGCCATCTATACCATGGCAAACTGTTAGTCATAACCCGAGGGTATGTAAAATGATGGGGGGATGGATCAGAATTTGGGTGTATCTGAAAGTTATGATTATCTGATGATGGGAAAACACCACCTCAACCAAGGACTCATTGGAATTAGTAACCCCTAACTCCTTGGCCTCTTCATCCAGTCAAGTGCCCGGGGTTTCACATCAGGGCACTAAGTATAAAGAAATGATCCAAGAAGCTCATTCTACAACTAGAACATATTCGTTGCTCAACTCGTACAATACAGACCCTCATACTGATTGATACTGTATATGTCGACATATGACAAAACTGCGTATGGATATGATATACTTATATCACGGACATCTCATGCATCTTAAGATACTTCATCCAGTTTGCTGCCAGGACCGAGACCATCAGGGCCTTTTCCGCCTCTGCAAATATTTTGGTGGTCTACCGTCCCTGGCTGAAAGTGGATGGATGGTCCACCATGCTGATCTTCCGTGATCTACCCGGCCTGGTTATGACTAACAGGGCTAGCCATGGTTTTTCGATGGCCCATAGAAATAGAGCTATTTAACATAGCCATGGTTTTTCGATGGCCCATAGAAACCCATAGAAATAGATGGTTTACCTATTGATAGCATGGTGAATCTTTCCATGGCTATGAATGTCATTTCACCAGATGGTCACGGTGCCGATGCGCACAGAACTTGGGATTTTCTCCAACTCATTGGATGGTGAACCAGATCCGGTTGGTGAGGTTGGACCAACAGACCAGCACCAAGCGGTTCAAGGACGGACAGCATCCAGGAACTTGGGACATCTGAATGATATCTGAATGATATCTGATTGGATGGTTTTAATCATAGATATCCCATAGATACTAGTTATGTTACTCTTTACATCATATCCAGGGACATCTGAATGATATCTTCATGATTCTGTATCTATGTACTTTGGGATGATATCTTCATGCTTGGACTCTTGAGGGATGCACTTGAAATTGCCTTCGCCCCGGCAAGCTGTAGTGATGTAAAGCAAGTTCTTCCAAAGAGTAGCCTCATGGATGGAACACCCTAGCATCAACCATGGATTCATCATGATTCATCATCCCCTGGTTGTTTTGAATCTTAAGGGAATACCGGAAGAACATTTTTGGGATTGAAATCATTACCCTCTGGTAAGCGTTTACAAAAAACCATGGAAATTCACCATTTTCAATGGGTAAATCCACTATTTCGACTGGGCCATTTTCAATAGAATTTTGACATAACCAGAGGGTATCTTACACTCAACCGGGCCAAAAAAACCTTGGGGTTTTCCACATCTCGGCCCATGATTGGGAGGCGACATCCCACTGTATCCAGTCTGTGCTGTCCTACTTTGGAATGTGGCTTGGGCACGGTGGATGATATGAGACCATCCGGTAAACCAACAAATTTACCCTCTGGTAATTTGTCAGATAGCTATTGAAACTCACCATGTTTCATAGGAGCTTCGGTACTTCTCGACTATTTTTATGGCAATTTTCAATAGCAATGTCTGTAAACGTAAAAACCAGAGGGTATTGATGATTTACCGATGATTTACCGTCAACATGGGGATGATCATTTGTATAGCTATATGTGACAAATTACCAGGTGCATCCCATGTTCACACTGACATATGTTCACCAGTTTTGACCATGTATAAATCCCGATTTGATTCCCACTAATCACCATTCTCTATCACTTTCATCATTGTTCTATAACTTTTGAAGTTGCGATTCAACATTACAATTGCTATTACTATGTACATATCAAAAAAAACACCGCCCATTTATTTTGCCATTATATACCCATTTATTTTGCCACTATATATATATATATATACACGTACATACATACATACATACATACATACATACATACATACATACATACATACATACATACATACATACATACACATACATACATACATACATACATACATACATACATACATACATACATACATACATACATACATACATACATACATACATACATACATACATAGATATATATATATATATATATGTATATAGTAGCTACAATTAAATCAGGGCCCAATTTGACCTCACCATAGTGGTTTCATTGCAATATCCCGCCTTAAATCACTACCTTTCACAATTTTCCGACCATTTTTGAGATTAGAAACTATGATTATGAAAATCACTATATTACTATATTATGTATGAACCCTATTACTATCATTTTTGTATTCACTATTACTATCACTACTATCTTTCCATGAATCTCTCCATGAAATCACCATACTTTGTGAAAAAACAGTTCCGCAAAAAGGCGCGGCTTTTCACTGCAACACATCATGGAGGCGCGTTTACCTGGTGCGTTTGACGTAGGGTGGCTGGATGGGTTGCTGGGGGTTGCTGGGATTATGACATTACTATAGTGATGAAATGGATCATTCCCGAAAATTCCCTAAGTAACACAAGTAAGTTACAGATGGGGAATCAAGTTGCCAGAAAATGCTTTGAAGTGGGCTTGAATTTGTGACTTGTCAGTGACCAGGGTCAAGCTGCATTAAACCAATGCTATAGCAACGACTGCAAACAACCCTACCGTGAACGACTGCAAACAACCCTGGGAACTGATCCACAAACCCCAGGCTGGTTTCGGATTGGTTTCGCGTACAATTTTTGGCGAATTCATCTAGGATCTAGATGACATTTTAGAATGTTATATATATATATATAACAAACATATTTGAACAGCCAGGATTGAGTCCAAAACGATGATAGATAACCAGTGAAGGGGAAAAAAACACACGTGTTGGCCGGATATAGCCAAGAGGAACAGGAGTCTGAGAAGCAACAGATGCAACAGACATACAAACTGATGCTGATATAAGAAATGAAACTAAGTAGGTCTACAACCGAGAGAAGGCCACCTAAATTTGGTTGTTTCATAGGACCTTTAGGACCGAGGAAACCATAAGGTTTTCCCCAGAAACCATTGGGCTTTCATGGGTTTCCCATGGCTTTCCTGTTTCAAAATCGAAAACGGTCAAGGCGGCACGTTTTCGATCATGTTTGTTGGGTGATTGACTTGGCTTTGTATAAAGCAGAAGTCCTGATAGTTGGATGCACCGGTCCTTAATAAGTGGGTACTACCCAGTTTTTTTTCGGCCTATCTGGGTGAATTGGAACATATTCTAACGATATTTCACTCCAAGGGGGGGAATCCCAAACATTGCAAGATTTCAGCAAGGTGAATACATGTACTTTAATTCAGATATTTGTGAACATTTTCATTTTCGCACCCAAAAAACTCCAGCATCCAACGTTGAGGCACCCATGATCACACACGTCACCTCTGCAGATGGCGCGATGCCCAGCGAAAAATCCTTTGGTTCATTTTGAGGCTAGAGATAGACATGTTAGATGGTTGTTGTGGACACACATATCTGGTCTTTGCAGAAAGCATTTTTTTTTAAAGGTTAGATGGTTGTTATGGACAATCCATGATTTCCCCAGGAGCATGAGTTAGGCATTTTTTGGAATTTGCGGAAATTCCATACTATGTGAGTTGACTGGAAACTTGACAAAAAAAACAGGCCACAACGTAGACCACTTGCAACAGGCTCCGTCAAAAGGTGATGATCCATTGCAACAATCGCTGGTTCTGAGGTCAGAGTCGCAGTGGGCCAGGGACACAGTTTATGCTCTCAAGGACCGCCTTGGAACAGTCATAGCAGTCGTTGCCGTCTTTGTAGCAGTCGTAGCAGTCGTTGCCGCAGTTGTGGTATGAAAAAAGATCCGAGTTCGAAAAGGGGGTACCCTCTGGTAAACTAACATAACTATGGAAAATCTCCATTTTCAATGGGGAAATCTACTATAAACGGTCATTTTCAATAGCTACGTAACAAATTACCAGAGGGTAGATCCCAGGCAATACATTGCCATACGTTGCCAACTATGGGGTACCTGCCAGATGCGAATAGCTTCCTCTGACATTGGATGGTCACCGACAAGTTGGATCCTGTAGGTTGATCTTCCAGTTTTCAACACGGCGCCTTGGAATTGGGGTGAAACAATAATAATGATGAGAATGATAATAATCATAATAATAACAATAATAATAGTAGTATCTATACATATATATATATATAATGATGATGATGATGATGGGAATAGTAATAGTAATAATGTTCCGATGGTGATTTCAAGCATTTTCCAGCTTCGACAACCACACCACCATACACCACCTATTTTTTGATGTCTCAGACTCAAACGTTATCTCCGGCGATGGGGACCGCCGAGAAGCGAATTTGCAGGGGTCAACTGGGCCCCCCTCATATTAAATACATTTAAATACCACCCAAACGAAACCATCGAAGGTATTGGATTTGTTAGGATTTGTTCATGTCACTGGGTCCAGTTTAGGGAGTATTTGGATGGGATTACTTAAGCAATCCACCTGGCTTCGTTTGCTCTCCAGGAGCGTACTCTTCCCTTGTCTACCCCAACGCTGCGATCCCATTTGCTGAGAGTTGGTCACTCAACTGGGGTACAGTGGGGTAGGGCCTATAGGCTTGGGAAGGGCGGTACATCTGGCCACAGCAACTTGTGAGTCGCAACATCCAGCAACTCGCAGGCTGTGGCCAAAGAGCCACGACAGCGGCCGTGATTGGGAATGGAAGAAAAGAACACCAAAAGAGGCCACGGATTGATCTGGGGCTTATCCAGGCGCTGGGTTCGTCGTACTGCTTGCGGGGGAAGCAGTGGAGTACCGTGGGTTGTTGAGAAGCTTGTCGTTAATCCATAGTAGCTGTACAGTCATTGATTGATCAAATAATTAGGTTAAACATGTACAGGACACATGGGGTTTTAACCCCAAGTCACGTTTTTTTTTACCCCAAGTATAGGGGTTTCCTGCAGATGTTCTGCATCCTAGTTGAAGAAAGAATGCCACCAGTTGGTCAGTTGGAAATAGTTGGAATACTTTCAACCGTCGCCTCCTAGCCAAGCTCAAGCACAAAGAAACATGACACAGCATGACACAGCGACATTTGTTCAAGGGGAAATAAGGCTAGGTATCAACACTGAACCTAACATTTTCGGTTGCTGTAGTCGAGCAGAAAAGAGTTCAATTGACAGAATCTGTCCCTTTTGTGGTGCTCAGCCAGCAGGCAAGCCGGGGAAAAGAGTCATCAGGTTAATGAAGTCCGCGGCAAGTGAAGCTGTCTCCTTGCAGTCACACCTCAACTAGGGATTCAAAGTAGAGACGTTGGATCACAATTTTGATCCCCTAACTCCAGGGATTTTGATGCATTGAAGTCATTTATTGAACCAAGAGGAATTGTGAAGAACTGATGCTGGGTCCTGGGTCATCATTTTGCCCCCTAGCCCCAAGCATCCGAGTCATACTTTTTGGGTTTTAGTGAGCCGCGATACAACTTGGGATCTCCGAACCCATGGGGTGGCTGAAAGACACCACCTTGCTGCCTCACCATGTGATGCTCTCAGACAGAGTCAGAGTCAGGATTCAGTCAACATAAAGAGTTCAGGACCTAATCACTCATGTTTTTGGCATTTTTCCCCCATTTCATATGATTTTGGCATAATTTTTTTCCCATTTCATATGATTTTGGCATATTTTTTTCCCATTTCATTTTGTTCCATTTTGGATTTTGTCCCCACCCTTTCAACCACCGAAAGTTCCAACAGCCCCAAGGCCCAGCGTGCTGGTGAGATTGAACTTGCCTGGCTTTGCCTCCCCGGAACCCTTCCGTCTGGAGGCTGAAGGCTTCGAAAAAAATCCGGGGGAAGCAAACTCTGAGCTTTCTACCCTCTGGTAAACTAACATAGCTATGGAAAGATCCACCATTTTTAATGGGAAAATCCACTATAAATGGCCATTTTCAATAGCAAACTGTTAGTTTACCAGAGGGTAAGGGATCCAGATGTATTACTCCCATGAACTCGCCAGTGGATTTCCATGGATTTCCGAGGTGTGGACATCCCTCAGGTGTCGCTGTTTCCAAGCAACACATCACTTTGGTCACGATCTTCATGGACCTGAGTCCTCAAACACGTGATATTTCCCCACTTTGGGTGTTTTTTTTTACGCTTACACATCGCTTGAAATGGCGGTGAAAAAGTGCTTGAACCTCTCCACTTGGGTCTTGGTTGATTTTCTTATGATGCTTTTTTAGATAATCCACAACATCTTGGAGAAGATGCTCCACCTCCCCACAAAAAAAGGTTGACATCTAGTATACATTAAAATTATTTAAAATGCTGTATCTTATCATTGGTTATGATCTATACTGGTTGGTGGTTTGGAACATGGCTTTTATTTTTCCATAGTATATGGGATGTCATCCTTCCCATTGACGAACTCATATTTTTCAGAGGGGTAGGTCAACCACCAACCAGTTCATGCACATGATATATTACTCACTATAATAGTATAATGTACTATAATATACTATACTATGATATGGTTATTATCTATAGATCTCAGATATCTATAGCCAACATTAAGGTTGAAATATATCAGGAGCCCATCCGAATTCAGGTCAGTCCTCCAACCAAGGTTTGGGCAACGCTCCTGCGTCGATCGCAGGCTTGGCATGTGCCGTGCTCCAAGAGATTGGAGGCTTCAGCCAGGTGGGATGCTGAGGCCAAACAGCAAACAGAACAAACATGGATAGAACAAAAACACATGTGTAAATACTATAGTACATATATGTAAATATTTTAAATATTATATGATATACTTAGATATTAAGTGATATTGACATATACTTAGTTATTTATATGTGATATATCTTATACATTTGGAAGGTTTTGGCAGTAAAGAGGCTTGCCAAGGGGAAGTAAGGCTCGCCAAGAGCCGGCCCAGAACTAGGGCTTTGCCGAGAATGGCCCATTCTGGTAGCAGCTGGCCATCTTTCGATTTTGGATGGGAAATCAATAGGGAAGTGAATGGGGATGTGCCGCAGCGCCTTTTTACGCATGTGTGGGGGATCATGCGCTGCACTCCTTGAGATCTCGGGGTGAGTTTAGGGGGAATCCTGGAACATCGACATAGCAACCCCGGTTCCCAAACGCCAATTCTGGGTTTTTGGATGATTCATCAGGGTATGGGTCAAAATAATTGGCCCGCCCCAAAAAACGGATGTAATGTGGGTAAAACAATGCCATAAACCACCCCATTTTTGATGGTTTATACCACCCATTTGTGGTGATATTGGGGATGGTTTATGATTGTTTTAACCACATTAATCAAGAAGGACCAATTTTTCAAGTCGGGCACCAGTGGTACCCCCATCCTTGGCAAACAACGACGGCCATGGCCCAGGACGAATTGGAGGCGGTGCGAAACCACTTGGATCAAGTGCCGCTAACGCTCTTGGGGGAGCTGTGCCTTGGCAGTGGAAGGTGTGGCCCCGCAGCTGCAAGCTGCAACAACTCAGGGGGAAGACACCCGAACAAGACATCAGCAGCCATGTATGTATATCTAGATCTATATATATAATTATATATATATAGATCTAGATCTAGATATAGCAAAGTAGCGCTATGAGATTATGAGATACCCGGCGGTTTTGCGAACAATGAGCTACCCCAAAATCCAGTGGTTCAGCATCATTTTTAACCATCAAGCTATGAATTTGAGGCTTTTTCTGGACATAAGTTCCCAGGCTCACTCATTTGGATCAAAATTTAGGGCCCTGGCACACACACACACACAAACACATTCTGGTCATTATAATTGTACTGCTATATTAGGCACATTTTTTTTTGAGATATAGGGTGTTATTTTGGTTGAAGCCTTTGTTGTGGTCAACTCTTGACCATTTGCAAGTTGTGCGAACATTAATAAGCGAACGCTGGTACCGAAATTCTGGAGTTTGCTGGTCAGCCATCTTGGTATTGAGCGACGTGAGCACACTTTTTCGACATAACAATATAGAGATACAAGGAATAGTGTATGCAAAGCAGTCGATTACCCAAGTCTCGTCACTTTCTTGTTGAATTAGTTCTATCTCCATAAGATTCATGGTTAGACCCCCTTACAAATCCCTATTTCAGAAGCAATCATCCAACAGTGTGGCCCAGGTGTGCCGGCCAACTGGTTGAGCTAGCCTCGGATGCTGAACTGGGCGTTCCTTGGAAGACCGGCTGGGGATATTTGTTGGGGATTTCATGGTAATGTAACGGGATTTTAATGGGGTTTACTATCCCAACAGCCCAAAGAAATGGCGATTTGATGGGATATATTGGGGATATAGTGATGTTTGTGGGGGATACTACAGTTTTAGCATGATCATTTTGTTTTTTTTACCAACCAACTTGATATTTGGGTTTGTCCAAAAACCTAGGGGATACCCCCCATTTTATGGAAATGTTCAGCACGGAAGGGCACGTGATGAGCCAGAGGATTCGGGTACGTGATGGGCCATATTGGGGGATGGACAATCCATGAATTTCATGGGGATTTTTATACTCATTACCCTCTGGTAAATTAACATAACTATGGAAAATCTCCAATTTTTAGAGGAAACTAATCTTCCAACCCCTATCTACCAGGGTCTATGTTAATTTACTGGAGGGTAGAAGGATTCCGATTCCCACTCTGGGATGATCATACCACTTATACCATGACTTATACCATCGAAAAAACCATGTTCTGACCCTGGCAGGTATGGGTCAAACTTGGGTAGCCAAAAACTGGATGGCTAGTACTGAAAGGTAGATGATATATATATATATAGACACATAATATATATATATATGTGCGTGTCTTACATGGCCTTGAATGGCAATTTAATTTTGGGGATCATCATGGCCCAGCAAATCAGAGCATTTCAGGATTTCAATGATACTATATATATAGCTTTATTGAGAATCTAGAGGATTTATAGGAATCATTATGATTATATAATTACCCTCTGGTTATTTAACATAGCCATGGAAAATCACCATTTTTAATAGGTACACCATCTATAAATGGGCCATCTATACCATGGCTATGTTAAATAACCAGAGGATATATATGTAGCTTTGATTTTGAGACGTTTTTTTTTCCACCCAGATCATCCAGACCGGCGCAATGGATGTTATGGCTGGTGCTTTAGAATATCTGATAGACACAAACCCAAGTATTAGTTTACTGTACTACATCATATCATCATATCAGATATTCGTATGATTGTTAAGGTTGATGGTTATACCTTTATATATATATATACATAATATATATATATACATATATATATATTATACATATATTTTTATATTATATATACACACACACATATATATATATACACGCATACATATATATATATATATAAGCACTTTATCGCGACCTCACTACGATGTCGCTGGAAAGCCGGTGCATGTAATGGAACTATAGCCTATTACGATCCAGATACGTTGGAGTTTTGACCCATATTCTTGTAGCTATACCCCATCAATGACATCCCCATTCTATCCCGTTCTAATAATATGCCAGAAATGGTGGAAGGGAATCTCTAAACCGGAACCACTGAACCACCATCATTTTTCTTGTGTGGTTTCGTGACCATGGTTTCCCAATGTTTAGGAGAGATTTCCCAATGTTTCTCTTGCTGATGTTCCAACAAAGTTGCATGTTTTCACCGTCAAAGTCATCAGGTGTTTCTGGCGACTGCTGAGTCACCCAAGGGACCTCCCATCATCGAGGCGGGCGTAAAAGAGACATTCGAGACATGGTCAGCAGAAATGTTGGCTGGTTGATGGATTGGTGGGGTTACAACTGTTACCCTCTGGTAAACGTTTACATAACTATGGAAAATCACCATTTTTAATGGGTAAATCAACTATAAATGGCCATTTTCAATAGCGAACTGTTAAATTACCAGAGGGTACAACTGTTATATATGTTATTATATGCATCAGAAGATGTATATACATTTAATGAGAGTTTTTTTTATAACGGTATAACCCTCCAAAGATGGGGATTTGGGGGATTGCAGCAAGGTCAACATGCTGACACGGAGTGGGATGGTTCTGTGAAAAATCTCAGAATCATTTAGGGAAAATTGACCAAAATAAATCCAATGGTAACAAGTATGGTACAAGTATGGTACCAAATATACATATATATATATAGATGGTAAAATTTAATGGTTTCCTCTATATCCCTCAAACCAAGCCAGTGAAATGCCAGGTCAGACCAAGACATAGTGCAGGGGCCGCTTCGCCCTTAGTGACATGCGAAGTAGAAAGCTGACAGGATTTTCAACAAAGTATGTGTAATCCAAAAGTTTCAAAAAAGTTTCCATCCTGTCTATCCCAAGTAATCCCATCCCTGCAATATCAAACACCCCCATTCTATGATCCCAAATATGTGCAGATCTCATGGTTTTTGGGGGATGTGCTCAAGCAGCGGATTTTGCCATCTCCAGCATGTCCCAACTCTGGGGTTATCCCAGAAGCCAGCGGCCAGCAGGGCTTCCAGCAGGGCTTTTTTGCTGCCGAATGATGAAACACGAAACGAAGTTTTGTGTCAAACGCTTCTGTCCAGAAATAGGCAACTCCCCAAATCCATCATCCAATGGTTTACCACCACTTTTCCCATTCACATGGCTATTTGTATGGCACATTTCTATTGGGAGCCAATCACTCTGCGGCCATGGCAAGCCTATACATGGTACCGAAGTCCTGAAGCTTCGCAGAAAAACTCGTCCCAGGTCTCTCCGTTGCCTCAAAGCCCGTTGGCAGGTGGGATTTTGTGACCATGGCCTATTGAAACTGGTGGACTTCCGATTCCTGGGTATCGACATGTAGAATGACCATCCACTTTTTGGGTACCCCATTTTTCACACCCATCTGTTCCCCTCGGACATTGACGCTTAGTTTCTTGCGCCCAGTCGGGTAATTACCAAATCTACATGTACTCGTAGTATCTTCAACTGTTTTTGGAATCTTGGCCCACCAAGTCCCACAATTGATAGCCTGATCTCCGCAATTCACGGAAATTGCCACAGTGTGTCAAAGTTCGGGACTTGGATGGGTCAAAGACTTTTGGGACCTGCAGAACGAGACTTTTTAAGACTTCAGGATTGTCGAACGCATTCTGAAAGTCTTTCCATACTTTCTAGCTATTCTAGCTAACAAACCTCGGAATTCACCATTTTTTCCAATTTTTCTTAGATGATCGGCCCATTGTCTCAGCCGAAAATCCACCTGGAACCAGGTTTGGGAATGAACCTCTTTGAGCTGGAGGGCTCAGGTTCACCAGGATGTCACCAGGGAAATGGAGCGCTAAAGGTAACTATCCCATGGCGCAAGGTTTTCAGGTTAGTGAATTGTAATTTACCTCGAAACAGGTGAATGGCACTTCACTTTTAAGCCATTCTTGATGCAGGCTGGCTATAGATCTTGGCGTTCTCCGTTTCCGTTTCCTCCGGGGAGTCGCTCTGGGGAGCGTCAATGGCTGGCTGGCAACGGCGGTCCGCGTCGCTAAGGTCGCCAACTCCCTCCGCGACGTCACTCGGAGGCGGCGGCGGCCTGAAAAATCTCTCATCGGTCTTTCACTCCAGAGGTAACATGAGAAAACTACAAGGCATAGGCGATTCTTCTTGTAGAAAGAGGGGCTAAAGGGTTGGCCAGAAGATGTCTCCCAATCTCAACAACAACAACAGCAGCAGCAGCAGCAGCAGCAGCAACAGCAACAGCAACAGCAACAGCAACAGCAACAGCAACAGCAACAGCAACAGCAGCAACAACAACAACAACAACAACAACAACAACCAACAACCAACAACCAACAACCAACAACCAACAACCAACAACCAACAACCAACAACAACCAACAACGCAACCAACCGCAACCAACCACCAACCACCAACAACCAACAACCAACAACCAACAAACAACAACCAACAACAACAGCAACAACAACAACAACAACATCGATGAGGAGGGTTTCGAACTGGTAAACTATCCGCTGGAAACATGAAAGGCCAGCTATTGGGCCCTTCAACATTTCTGAGTAAATCATGGGCCAGTGTAGTTTTGAATGGTTTAATATTATTTAACCACAAATGGGGGAATTAACAAACTACATGCAAAAACAACTACCCAGCTGTTTTGAAAAATGATACGCAGCTAGCACATATTGTTTGAAAAAATATATATATATACACAATATCACATAATATATGAACATGATATAGCATAATAAAATGATATATATATATAGATAGTACTTGTTTAGGTACCCTCTCGGATTTTCAAGATTGAACATAGCAATCAACAATGGCCCATTTATGGTGACTTTCCATAGCTATCAGCGCAGGCATGGTTCCTTTGAGCGCATCACCGGAGGTGCAGGCGATGCCAGCGATTTGACCTTGGAATTTCTGGAAATTTCTGGAAAGGGGATGGGTCCACACTGGTACCCTCAAAACAGGTTTGTGGAGATGTCCCAAAATGAGAACAGTTTAGTAGATATATATATATAATCAAATATACGTGATTAGTCAAAAGCCTTTGATTTTCAGGTATGAATAGTATGAACAGGGGGGCTTAACATCCATTTTTTACAACAGTTATTTCCTGAAAACCCATGGTACCAGGGTTTTGCATACCCATGCACATTCTGGTCAGGAGCAGCGGCCTCCTGCTTCGTCGACGCCCCAGTTACCATCCTGGATTTGGGCAGATTTTGCTGATTGGCTTGGATAGAGTTGCTTTGGGCGATAACCTCAGTATCAGCTAGAACATATCTCACAGGATACTGGAAATAAAATGTGTCGACAATACCCCATGTAGCCCCAAAAAGTTGCAGAAAAGTAAGGTCCAACAAAAGGTCTCTGGTAGATTCATATGTAATTTCCATCTCTTTTCTGCATCTCTTTTCTCGGGGTACCAGAAATTTCCACCCTTCACCTCCATGTTCAAAACAACTCCCAGGCGTTTCTCCGAAGACAAGGAGCTTCAGGAGCCCGGCTGGAGGACCATGGACCTGGTTGAAGTGTTGAACCCATCAACATATTGTTTTATGATGTGTTATTGTTGCTACTGTTTTGTTGTTGAAATACGAACCGTGGCGGGGGTTAAGCAACAGAACCGTTTTTTGTTGTTTAGCGGAAAGGAAACGATTCTAGTAGGCTCCGTCAATCAAATAACTGGCTGGCTGTGCGCTTAGATTGTCAGAGGATAATTTTTCTTAGCAACTTTGATGCAGAGACCAACTTTGATCCCCTACAAAGAGGCCCCAAGTTACAATTTGGTTCACACATCCACGAAACTGACTTACCTATTCCACATGCTCCACGTATGGTACATTTATATACCAACACTTGCCCCTGAAATGGCTCAGCTAACATAAGCATAGACCAGCACCCTGGTTATAACTTTTTTATATCGCGGGCCCAGCGTGCCATCTCCCTATCCTCAAATACTCCCTGTCGCCCCCCAAAATGAAAGGATCCAATCCTTTCCAGGGTTTCGTGTGGGGATATTCTTTTTTTGAGGATAGGATTAGCCCCACTTAAACAAAGGCAACCCAGAAAAAGATCGAACCATTTGTTCTACATCAATTTTAGTATTTTAGTAAGATCGCACTTTTCTGGGGGGTACTATGGTAAACCACGCAATCGGGGGCCCACCCATAACCGTCCCCCTTTTCGACTCAAGGAGCACCTGCAGCTGCAGCAGGAATTGCAGCAGAAGCAGCGACAGCTGCAGCAGCAACAGCAGCTGCTGCAGCAGCAGTTCGAGCACGCGGCGCACGCGGCGCACACACGTGGCTCGGATCCAACGGCCCGGCGTAAGCTGTTTGATCCGTTGATGGCGAGTCTTTATGGATGTGAATGGCTCAATGGTGGGTACTCACTTTCCAAAATGAGGCGATTCTAGTAAATGCATGTATTCTAATCATCTTTGGGATGTGGACGGAACAGAACCTTGAGCTATATAAGCCATAGATGGAAGAGTAAACCACAGTTGCATCGGCACATTGAAATTGCTAGGGTTCTTTCGGGAGGCCTATGATTCTCAAGGGCTGCCTTCAACTTGGCTCGATCCATGAGAAGCCAACTTGTAGAACAGCAGCTGATTAGTAATGCTCAATGCTCTGAAAGAATGCACGTATATCTTCATATAACAGAACAACATGATACAACATGATACAATATAATTTTAATATAAATGTAATTATATATATATACACATTATATATATATATACACATTATATATATATATATATAGATATACACGTGTGTCCTACATGTGTACGAATACACACATGTATATTACTTAGATATGGGTTTCCGTTGGTTATCTCTGGGGTTCAAACCTTGCGGTTTAAATCCTCTTGGAGGCGACAGAGGGGCACCAGAGATTGGAAAGAGGAGATGGCGGGGCCACCGATGGCCGATGAGTTGAGAAGTCTCCAAGTCACCTGATCCATCACTGGGATGTTCCAAGGTAGGATTTATATGGATTTATGATCAGTGACTGGGCATATTCCATCAACTACCCTCTGGTAAACATACAAAAAGCTATGGAAAATCACCATTTTCAATGGGTAAATCCACTATTTCTATGGAAAATCCACTATAAACTATGGAACATCACCATTTTCCATGGGTAAATCCACTATTTCGACTGGGCCATGTTCAATAGCTTTTTGTTAGTCATTACCACGGGCTATGCTATCTGGTGCGTTTCCAATCTTCCAATCCGAGATGATTGGATCCCCAGTGGCTCTCACGTAGAGCCAGACTATTCTGGGTGGTTACTGTAATCAAAGCGAACTAAATAGCCAAAAATTGAGCCACATTTCAATAATACTATATATATAGCTTTATTGAGAATCTAGAGGATTTATAGGAATCATTATGATTATATAATTACCCTCTGGTGAACTAACAGTTCGCAATGGAAAGATCCACCATTTTTGAGAACGGTAAACCATCTATTTCTATGGGCCATGGCTTCCATTGCTATGTAACAAATTACCAGAGGGTAATCCCCCAATTTTTCTGATCATAGTCATACCGTATTTGTGTATTCTCGGTGACACAGCAACATTCATTTGTTAGTGATAGAATATCCCCATGCGTACTATGTGCCCACGTGCATTCCCATCGAATCTCTTCTGGTTTTAGTCCTTGACCATTGGTGATGCATTGGCTGTACAGCCTTCATTTTTGGGTCTACAAGGTGGTGCCTCATAGTTCGCTAGATTGGTTGAGATAAGTAGACTCACTGTGGCATCTGGTAGATACATCGATATATATATATATACATACATACATACATACATACATATATATATAATATACGTATATAGATAGATGATTGGGTTTATAAACCAACAACGATGCTTGCAGATCAATCCACTTATAACTTTTGCCACTCTAAATACCATCTGGTTATGACTAACATAGCCATGGAAAATCACCATGTTTAATAGGTAAACCATCTATTTCTATGGGCCATTTTCCATCATCCATTGGCCACCGCAGGATCAACGGCCACGGCCCGGCTGCAGCACCAGCAGCTCCGGCTGCAGCTGCAGCTCCGGCTGCTCCGGCGGCTCCGGCTGCGGAAGCAGCGCCGCGGGACCCAGAGGGCGGCTGAGGATGCAGCATGAAATGTGAGTAGAGCATCAATCCAATTTAATGATCATAGCTGATACTCAATCATTGCTGATGCACCATGATCATAGTATAGCTAAATGTGGTTTAATGATCTTTACTATTGCTGATACATAGCTGATACATAAAAATCATAAACCACCACTAGATTGGTGTAAACCAATTGCTTTGCCAATCTAGTGGTGGTTTATCAATCTCTGGTTGGTGGTTTGGAACATGACTGGATTATTTTCCATTTCATATATGGGATGTCATCCGAAACCCATTGACGAACTCCATCATTTTTCAAGATGGTTGAGTCACCAGCAACCAGATCTAATGTTGGCAAGCCGCAATCATTGATGATGATTGGTTGGAATCCCACCCATAAAAACATGGTCAATTTGGGGATGGCGGAGCCTTCCTGAGGATGGTGATTTCACAGAAGATTTCAGTGATTTCACCCAAAGGGGATTGGACAGAAACCATGACTTAAATAAATAACATTAACATAAGCAAGACGTCCTGGACCCACAAAACTGGTCAGCTTTATATGATTTATATGGGTCTGTCTGACTGAAGATGCGCTAATTATACCTTTTCAGCTAGCCCTTGAAAATCGGGGAAAGGGTGATTGACTATTGGATTTAGGGTTACCATATTTTCAGACAAACCTATATTATATATAGATAATTATATATAATTATATATATACACATAGATTTAAACTTCCAATTTCTTATATCACTGTTGCTTTTGGTCATAGATGTTTGTGAATCACATCCCTATCATTTTAGGTTGTAACTCTGTGATAGGAAAAACACTTGGAGCAACATTCTCCGACCCTCTTATAATAGATGGCAACAACCCCAGTTTACAGCAAAGTTCTCTTTACAACAACACAGTGTTGCTCGAATATAGTCTGATAAAGGTTTATATAAAAAGGGAACTCACTAAAACAGGCGTAGGCATTTTGTGTGAGACGTACTGCTTCGCGAAGCCTGCGTAGGCGGGACGTGTAGGATTAACACGGACTAACATTTTACACAGGCGTAGGCTGTTCGCGTAGGCAGCTTGGAGAGACCAATGCAAGCAGTTGGAAGCGTGATGTGTACTCGCATAGGCTTCCCTCAAAGTCACCGCGTAGGCACCCTTCTGCATTAGGCTTGGCGTAGGTGTTGCCGTAGACCTCCATGTAGTGTATACGCACCAAACCCCCAAAAAACACTACTCAGTCTTTCTGTCTATTAAAAAAAACAACGAGATTGCATCCATTTTGGCCGGTTTCTCCAATGATGTTCTCCTTTAGACATTGTGACATCGATCCCAAACTCCCACCTTTCTTGACCCGGCTTCAACGCCAGAGGCTTCCAGCGAGTAGTCGTTGGGAACAGGACCAACGGATGTGAGATCGGTGGAAAAGAAATTGGCCAAATTAACAGTGCCAATGAAACCCCAGATGGGGGTTTCTTAAAACAGGGGATCCCCAAGTCACCATGCGTTTCAATATGTTTCAATACTAAAATGGTCATCCATGACTGGATGATTTGGGGCGACACCCATGTTAGGAACCTCCAAATCTAAAGATATCATAAGATATCTTTTGCCTCAATCAGTTTTCCCGTTTTCCCCCTTTTTTGTAGCTGCATGGTTAAAGGCATGTTTTGCGCAGCAAGGGTCGATAAAGAACCATGCAAGGGTCGATGGAGCCAAACTCACCATGGAGTGGATCTCACCGGTGCACAGCTCAAACCTGGCAAACTTAGAACGACGCCCTGGCTCACTCGAAATGACGAATAGTACCCTCTGGTGAACTAACATAACTATGAAAAATCACCATTTTTAATTGGAAAATCAACTATAAATGGCCATTTTCAATAGAGAGGGTAAGAGAAAAATGAGGAACCACCCCGCTTTTTGATTTGTGAATTGCACAGTGCTACAATTTGGACTGGACTGGTCACGTCTGGTATTATAACGAAAAGCATAAACTGTGGACTTGACCCAGAGGATAAGCAATGATAAACATGGGATCCAATGTCTTGACTTTACTATTTCTTCCGGTAACGTCGAAAAGCACCAAGCACTACCAATTTCGGATTCGTTTTCGGTCGCTTGCCATGGCTTGGGTATTGCGTGCCATGGCTACCCTTAGCTTCGCAGTGGGGAGTCCTGCGCCACTGGTGATTGACACGGACCCTGGGTTCAACTATGGATTTACCATCTGGTTATTTAGCATAGCCATGGAAAATCACCATTTTTAATAGGTAAACCATCTATAAATGGGCCATTTTCCATGGCTATGTTAAATAACCAGAGGGTAAACAAGAAATATATGGTGGTTTCCTGAAATAGGGGTACCCCCAGTCATCATCCATTTCTAGATGGGATTTTCCATAACAAAAAAACAATCCAGCGATCAAGGGGTACCCCCAGCCATTAGGAAACCTCCAGATGGGATTTAGCCCGCCAAACAGTGAGATTTAGACAGGGGAAAGCGACTCCATGGGTAGTTTCGTAAATTTATATCATCTCTTGCTGTAAACAGGGATATAGAATAATATAGGAAGTACCCTCTGGTTATTTAACATAGCCATGGAGAATCACCATTTTTAATAGGTAAACCATCCATAAATGGGCCATTTTCCATGGCTATGTTAAATAACCAGATGGTAAACGCAAGTAACCCTCACAATTTCCTCTCTCCACGGTTGCATCCCGGCAAAACCTTGGACAAATGTCGTCCGTCGCACCCGGAGTGCGTTGTGAACGCTGCATCACTCCGTTTGCAGATGGTGGGATCAGCCCAAAAGTCCCATGGCTTTTTTGGGAGTTTTTCAGGATAAAAATTCCATGTTGAAATGGCCAATTTGGTGTACGCCAAGGACATGAACGTCGATGACATGGCCGCCATTGCATTTCTTCTGGCGCACCATAGCAACATCCTAGCCATCACGGTGACATGGTGACGGTGAGGCTTCCGATCATTTCCTATCCAAAGTTTGGAGTATGTTATCCCATGTTATCCCAAATGATGGCCATTTTGGGGAGAAGGAGGTGTTCAACCTGGTTTTTCATATCATATTTTCAGACAAAGCCAATATGGAGATCCTGGAGATGGGTGAAAAGATGAATTTCCTCTATGGGGAGAAGAACATCCATGAACATCACCTGGGGTATCCGATATGGTGTCGCGATCTATCCCCATAAAGGGCATCCGGTTGGCCTCTTGAAATGATCGCGACAAAAGGATCCAAAGGTTTCGGAGCGATCGCGACGACAATGTGAGAATGAAGTTATGGCTTATGGATATTTGTCAATAATGGTCATAATCTATCATAATATGTCACAATTATCCTGAGAAGGATTATAGGGTTATGTTATATAATTGTTATATATATAGCCTTCATGCTCATCCTTCATTTGCAGCTTAAATCAGCTGGGCTATGAAACAAGTCCACGCGTACCCAAGCCATGGGATTTCTGGATGTTTCTGGAGTGACCAGTGGGACCAGCCAATTTAAGTGGTTTCCAGGGTAACAGAAAACAGACGAGGTTTGACAAGCAACTATTTAACTTTTGATTTACTGTAGCTGGTTTGGTTTTGTTGAACTACTTGTAAGTACTTATAATTGTTCCTGCATTGATATCCAGAAAAAAAATCTCACTGCAAGATCAATGCACCGACATGTCGTTTTGTAAGCTAGGTCAGATCGGATGGCGGCTCGATGACGCCTGAGTTTAGCTACTTCACCATGCCATTATCAGCAATAATGTGCGCTTGACATAACAGTTTCCCCCTTTTGATAGCGATCAGCATGTGGATTGTCTTCAGACCTGGTCGGACTGGTCGGTTACGCCTTCGCAGCCCACCGCCCAGTGGCCCAGGTCAGCGCGGTGGGCTTTTCGGCTCAGTGGTCTGGTGTGGACAATGCTTTGAGGCTTCTGAATTACTTCAATCGGAGTGAGACTTGGCTGTTGACTTGGACTACTGGGACTATGGTTTGGAATGGCAGATTGCTGTTGACTATGGGTGGCAGATTTTTCATCATTTTTCGGGGACTTGTACCCCCAAGATACTGCATCCAACCAGCCAAAATTTGCCTTACAAGACATGATCTGAAGATGTCTGGAGCAGCTCGTGGGCTTGGTGAATTCAGCACCCCATGGGATGCCCATGGGATGCGACTGGTGGGGATCAGATGTCCCCGGCCGACTTGCCATACAAGGTCAACCCCCCTGGCTTAGGCCTAGGTTTTGGCTCGCGAATGGGCCGCTGAGTCACAGATTACATGATCGATGATATTTGCAATAGAAGGATGTATTCATATAATATGTCAGAACATGATAAAGCCTAAATATAAAGCCTAAAGGTGTGTATCCAATGGATCCTACTATGCCTTAGTTTCTAGTGTTCCCCACTGTCCCCAGTCCCTGTTTTTTTGCGGTTGAATCTGCATTTGTGTTGAGATCTTGCTTCGACTGTTCGACTGTTCGATGGGAATCATAACGACCTCACCTCACGACCTCACCATGAATTATGGGTGGAAATCACTCCCCGTAGCATCAAAAGTCAGCTTATTTCATCTCTGTGCACGACTTGTCCAAGAAGGGATTGACACCAAAAAATTGCAAGCCTTAATCACGGAGAACATGATTTTACCAAGCACATTTTTAAACTCCAATCTTTTTCAAGTAAATTTAGGGTACTGAGACGCCGCGCATTCAGGAGATCCCAGTGGAATCCAAGCTGCAAGTTAGCCACGAGGGGACATGCAAGATTTACCAGCAAAAATAGGCGATTTTCACCAGCGAAGAATTGAGTTCCACAAGCAAGACCATGTGTTCTCACAAGGGAAAAGATGGGTTTCACCAGCACACGCGTTTATTTTTGAATACTTATAGTATTTGATATCCGGTCTATCTATATACTGCATATATATATACATACATACATACATACATACATACATACATACATACATACATACATACATACATACATACATACATACATACATACATACATACATACATACATACATACATACATACATACATACATACATACATACATACATACATACATACATACATACATACATACATACATACATACATACATACATACATACATACATATACACGCGTACATACTGATATTACATGCATAACCCTTTTTCGGTCATCAAGCCCCGGTCACGCCTTGGTACCGGTCACACCTTGGTCGTTTTCTCAGGCCTTTCAGGATGGCTATTTGGGACAAACACAACTGAATCTGCAGTATCCTTCGGGTCTTCCTCCCCAGGAATGGCTCAAGGTGTGTGCCACGAATTGCGAGGGATGTTAGAGTTTTGGGAGCTGGAAATTGGAGAAAATCGATGGAGTTGCCCTATAACAGTATAAATCACTTATAAATCAGTATTTCCCACTTTGGTGTTGATTTTCCGGAGATGTACATTTTTCCTGTGACATGTCCTGCTGATTTTAGAGGTTGCAGGGCTGCGGTTTTTTCCAGGCACAGTTCCGACTTGGATGGACATTAGGAGTTTCACTATGTTTTGATGCTATTGCCATTCTCGAATGGCTCACGAAAACAGTGCAACTGTGGACTTCGTGATGTCTCCCAGAGCCAGTTTTTTATGAGATTAGGCTCTGGGATTTTTTTGTACTCTTGGTGAAAGACACCACTCACCAGGAAATCTTGTTGAGTCTCAGCTGATTTTCGAGCACATTTGACCTTTACATATAGTTTAATGCGTTTACATACCCTCTGGGTAAACCCATTAAAGACACGACTTTCAATTCCATGGTTTTTGCACAAATGTGTGCGGAAGTTTCAAAATTCCCATTGTTAAACAAACAAACGAAAAATAGTTTCGACTTCTACCATCGCAGAATTGGTTTTGAACACATTTTTGTTGAGGAAACTCTCGATAAATTCATTGGGAATAAAACCAATGGTTTCCTGTTCATAGTTTTCCCTGGATTTCTCCCTTTCAATGCCAGGGTACCAACGAATACTTCACCAAGTGGGTTCCCATCGCAAGCTCTTTGCGGCCACCTGCATGGCAAAGTGCCTCACAGCTGATTGTGGAGGTGTTGAACGCTTCTGAGGAGTCTCGGTGGAGCAATGCGGATGTGCCAGACTATCCGGTTGTGGTTTCAAAGCCTTACACAACCAATATATCTGAATAAACAAATTGCATGACTATATATATATATACGTATAGCCATTACATAGGGCACATATATATATATATACACATGTATATGTATAATTATGTGTATATATATATGCATGTATATGTATAATTATGTACATATATATATATACACATAAACCATATCCATATGAATGTGTAAGCTTACATAAGCTATACATAGGCCATATATAAGCCATACAAAGTAGGGATATAAATTGGTTATTATCCACTTACCTGGGATGCACCAAGTATGACCCAGTTTCCCGTGGAACAAATGGGATCAAAACCGGTCAAATTTTTGGGAGTACCTGGATGGGCATTCCAATTAGGAACTGGGAACTAACATGATCGAAGCACAATTCAGCCAACTTAGCAGCTTTGAGAAAGGTCTCAATACCATTTGGGAGTTCACCAACAGAGATGGTGGCATGCGTTAAGGCGGCAACCCCTGATAAGTTGAAGGATCATTGTCTTTTTGTGACCAACTGAGCCTACCACAGGCTACGAGAAACTCCGCTGGTTAGCATTCAAGGAATTTCATATAGCAAACTTGTTTGCTGGCATGTGCAAGTCTTTACTAACTACTCTCTCGTAATTTGACATAGCAATGAAACATCACCGTTTATAATAGGCAAATCATCCATAAATGGACCATTTCCCATAGCTATGTAACAAACTACCAGAGGGTAGATCTGGACTCAGACTGGGAGATGGATTTTGTCCCCATGGTGTTCTCATGTTGGACGAGCATCAGGAGGTCGGCGGGTTTTACTGTGTTACTTCAGCACTGTTTCAACACATGTCTTTCCGGTTGAAGAAGAACCGGAAGCCTTTTTGATTTTCCTTAAATTTCCAGTGAATTACCATGAATTTCCCCTCAATTTCCAGTGAAACCAATGATTTCCCCTAAACAAAACCGTTCCGATCCAGTGAATTTCTGCTCCACCTGCGCATTTGCGAACGAGGAAAACGTGCACTTCTTGGAGTTAGGACGGTTTGATCCCGTGTTGGGATGAACCTAATATATAAACCATCCGCATCCATCCGCAATATGACCATGGATTGGTTTAGATAAACCCATGATAAAACCGTAGGTTTGTAATTGGCTTTACATATGTTTACATGGATTTACCACATTTAGATGGGATATATGGGATAAATTACATTGGAGTCAAAGTTCAATAGCCCACGATGTTTGAATTCTTCACCTCCCACCGCAGATCTTCATCAGGGTCCCAGGTGCATGGAAATTCGACCACAGATGACGACTGCCGTATGGGACAGTATGGTTCAAACTATTTGGGGTACCTTTTTGGACTCGCAAACTCAGAAACATGGATCCTTTTTTTTAAAACATTTTTTTTGTCATGAAACCATCCATCCATTCCCAAATTCACACTGGCTTTTGGTCGTTGTTCTCCGATTCTGCAGTTACTTGGAAAAAATCGGCTGCACGGATCGTGACTCGTTTTTTGAAAAAAAAACTTGGTTAGCAGATCGTTTTTTGTTCAGTAGGTCCTCCCATGCATTGTTATGGTCCGCATGGTTAGTAAGCAGTTTCTAGCCGTGGGATGATCCTCCAAGTTGAGATGAAACATGGTGAACTAAACCCATCTACTGAGCAATGGGATATTCCTCCAAGTAACCCCGGTTAAATCCCACTAAGTTCCAAAAAAATAATCCCATGTTGGTGGGTAAAAACCATTGTTGCTGGTGATCTTCCAGTAAAGTTATGGATGTTATGGGATCCATGTAGGTTATCCATGCTGATCCAATCCCATCTATAACCCATGACGGATCCATGGTGCTGGTATATATGTTAACATGACTGGGGTATATTAATGGGATCCATGTTACCATATATAGCAGCACCATGGATCCGTCATGGGTTATAGATGGGTGAATTAAGCCCATTTACATCCATTTGCTACCCTCTGGTTATTTGTTACATAGCCATGGAAAATGGCCCATTTATAGATGGTTTACCTGGGTTTACCTATTAAAAATGGTGATTTTCCATGGCAAACTGTTAGTCATAACCAGGTAACCAGAGGATTTTTTTTGTCCATCGCAAAGTGTTGCTTTGGAGAGTAACCTCACCACTAAAACCCATTCCTCGTCACCCTGACCTTGTGCTTCCCATTGACTAACCACGAGCCACACGAGCCATGGGGCCATGTATTGATGGGATCCATGTTACCATATATAGCAGCACCATGGATCCGTCATGGGTTATAGATGGGTGAACTAAACCCATTGACTAACCACGAGCCACACGAGCCACACGAGCCATTGGGGCCATGGGATGCGGAAAAGGACCCTACACCAACCTGGCCGCGGCGCTGCACCGCGATGCCTTGACAGTCACGCGGAAGATTCGCCGCGTCTACGCTGAGGGAGGGCGCCTGAAAGTGCCAGGACGGGGACCGACAACCTGACCAAAGCGCCGGGGGGCAACAAAAAACCAACAAGAATGGGGATTTATAGGGATATAACTGGGATATAGCTGGGAGATAGCTGGGATAATTGGATAGCTGGATAATTGGGATATAGTTCGAATATGATCGGGTCATTTGTTGAAGTTCGCTATCCAAAAATGGAAACCATGGCCCATTTAGTTCGATGATTTCCACATTAGCGTATGTCAAACTTTGTGTCTTGCCATGACGCAAAGCGTCAAATTCCGCGAAGGTATACCCTCTGGTAAACTAACATAACTATGGAAAATCAACATTTTCAATGGGTAAATCCACTATTTCGACTGGGTCATGGCTTCAATAGCTATGTAACAGTCATTACCAGAGGGTAACTGGGGATGTACTATTTTCTGGATTCCATCAGAGTGTGGCCCATTTGGTGGTGGCGCTCGTGTAACGATGGTAGCGATGCGCTGGGCCATTTTGATGTACAGTTTTTTCCATGTCAAATAGACGTCAAATTTTCACAGCCAGACATGCAGTTTTTGTTAGCACCCAAAAGAATGGTTAGGACAGATTTGGAGCAACATTAATATAACAAGAGAATGGGCAATGCAAACTGAATGGGCTCACTTACAGTACCCACTGCAAACTGCAAACATTGGTCATTGCCACTTGCAGGGCTGCGAAACCGTCACTGGGATGAACATATTGGTGGGAGGGGTTCAACGCTGGGCCATGGCCCATCGTGAGTCAATGTGGTAGCTGGCAGTAGGTAGCTGGCAGTAGGCCAATGTGGTAATGAATGTTTAACAACTTGGACCCTAGGAATAAAAACAGGAATCAATCAAGGTGAGATGGACTGCTTGAGAGATTGAGGTTAGGTCTAGTGATGTTGTTTGCTGTTCGTGCATGTGAAAGATGGATTAATTTGACCCTGGTACAAGAGTTACAGTCCTTCTGTTTTCTCATACCTAGGATGGTTATTCCGATATTCCATCATGTTATTCCAATTCACTATTTATTTTTCCAGATGGGTCGAAAGTCGAGTCGAAACCACTTGCGGCAACTTGCGATTCAGACCTGAAGAATCTTACCCGTTAAACCGCCATAGCTGGCCATAGATGTAGCCATAGCTGTTGGTTGTATCAGAGCAATTGTTTATCATTTACAGGTTGGTGGTTTGGAACATGGCTTTTATTTTTCCATATATTGGGAATAATCATCCCAACCGACTTTCATATTTTTCAAGATGGTTAAAACCACCAACCAGTTTACATATTGGATATCTATTGGTTGCTGCTTGTTTGCCTGACATTGAGCCGTCATCGTTTGTTACATTCCCCTTGGTGTTGGTATCCAAAGCATATATATATATATTTTAGCGGGTATATATATATATAGATTGTTTCGTTGTTCGTTGTTCGTTGTTGGTTGTTGTTGTTGTTGTTGTTGCTGCTGCTGTTGTTGTTGTTGCTGCTGCTGCTGCTGCTGTTGCTGTTGGTGTTGTTGTTGTTGTCGTTGTTGTCATTGTCATTGTTGTTGTTGTTGTTGCTGTTGGTGTTGTTGTTGTTGTTTGTTGTTTGTTGTTTGTTGTTTGTTGTTTGTTGTTTGTTGTTTGTTGTTTGTTGTTTGTTGTTTGTTGTTGTTGTTGTTGTTGTTGTTCTTGTTGTTGTTGCTGTAGCAGCAGCAGCAGTAGTAATAGTAGTAGTAGTAGTAGTAGTAGTTGTAGTAGTAGTAGTAGTATTAGTAGTAGTTGTTGTAGTAGTTGTAGTTGTAGTTGTAGTAGTTGTTGTAGTATCAGCAATAGTAGAAGCAGGAGTAGGAGTAGGGACAGGAATAGGAGAAGAGAGGACTGGAGACGAGAACCAGTAGTTGTTGGGGTGGTTTGTAATATTAATTTATGGCCAGAACTAGTTCGCACTTCTAAACTGGAATGCCAATAGAGGTAGGTGTCATAGATGCAGGAATAGATTTGATGCAGTGAATGAAATGACATCGTCAGCAATGCAATGAATATTGATACATTGTAGTGGTAGTGGTCTTGTTTGAAAAAATGACGCAATGATCTGATGGCACTGTTTTCGGTGATTCAATGACAAGCTAGGTGTCGAATCTTGAAATGTCTTTGCATGTTTTTGAACTATTTTGGTTTAATTTCATTCAAGCGAATCGATCTGCCGTTTAAATCAAGTGTCACTGCATTCTCATTTTCCAAACAGCCATCGATCTGGCCGAACTTCATGCAGCTGCAAACAACCTGGGGGACCCTTGCTTGAATCCCCCGCAAAGACCTTCTCAGACTACAGATCCAGCTCAGCCAAGCGCTTTAGCACAGCCTTTGTTCGACTTTGTGAGTGGTTTGTTTACGGCTTGAGATTTGTTTTTATGTTTGGATGTTTCCTTGTTTTCCCGTGTTTGTAACTCGGAGGTTTTGACGCTGCGGCGTCGTAGCGTTTGATAATTCAATCATGGATATACACTCATGTTTTTCACTTGTAATAATAAGTAGCCCCTAAATTGACGCGCTCGCTGCGCTCAGGGTTTCGGGAAATGTGGTAGCAGAAAAGACCTTCTCCTACAAAACCTATTCTAATTGATTCTGAAATTGCCGTTGAGTCATTGTCATGTTTCATGCCAACAACTGCACGCAGCCATTGCGCGATGGAGATGCCTTTTCCGTTCAAACCGGCACCCGGACTGCTTGGCCCCCTGTTGGTGCCTCTTCGGCACGACGAGGCGGGTCCGGGTGTGATTCAGAATCATCAATAAAAACAAGATCATTCCCCATCTGGTCAATAATTCAGTGAACAAAACATTACCCAAAGCCTGGGGGCGAGACAGGCCTGCGGGCCAAACGCCTGCGAGCGATATCGTAGGCCTGCGGGCCCAACGCCTGCGGGCGATCGGCCTGCGGGCCAGTAATAATGCCTGCGGGCAAAAGGTCTGCGGATCAATGGCCTGAGGGCCAAAGTATGCCTGCGGGCAAAAGGTCTGCGGACCAATGGCCTGAGGGCCAATGCATGTGCCGGCGATGACAAGGGGGTCCTTCAAATCCACATTCTAACTTCAGTCTGAAACACACATTAATTGTCAGTGTGATGCCAATGCTCGTCGGTGTGTGCTATTTTTCTTGTCGCAGGTATTACACCTTCCAAGCCATGCCCGAGCCGAAGCAGAAACAAAGAAGCCGAGAGAGGAGCCGAGGCAGAAGCCGAACTTGCCGCCGGAGCTCGTCTAGCAGCGAATCTGTCGTGGTCGTGGACGAAAAGGAAGAGACAGAGAGCCGCCCTCCACCACCGGACCCGCGGGTCGATGGCCAAGGCCGTTCCAAGTCGAAGTCT